CAGAAAGTACTGTGAGATCAGTGGTAAGGATCACAGTTTTGTCTCATCTAGAAAAATGGCACTTGCAATAATACAATTCCCCCTTGAATATGTCGGGGCATGCGTTCACTATTGGACCAAAGAGAAGAGTCTCACTTACTGTGTCACCAACATTACTTCTAGTGTCATTTAAAGTTTTCCGAAAGGTTTCATCCAAGTTCTAACCTGGGCAGCCACATTAAGCCTGTAAGATCTAACAAGTTCACAATCTAAGGTGGCATGGCTTCATCCCCCCCCCCCTTTTTACATATTTAGCCTTAAAAAATAAGCACTCCTTTACCTAATCTGTCTTCCCATTGCCCAAGATCTCTAGGGTTAAATAAACATGGCAGAAAGAAAGCCTGATATATTTTTAACCTTAATATTTTCCACAAACCCTGATGACTAGTTAAAATTGTGTGTTTAATCACTCAGGATCTCCTGGTTCTGGTTGAGCTGTACTCTTGGGTGGGCCTAAACTATCCATCGAAACCAAGTAACACTGTTCTTGGATTGCCAATAGTATATTGATCCAGTCATTGCTGCTTAATACTATTACTAAAAATACGGAATGACCCTAACTGGGATAGCACACCTCATTTAACAATACGTATTTAAAAAACTTGGCTCCCTAGGTCTCCGTGCCCATCAAATGTGGAATGTTATTTTTTGATAATATTATCTGTAACATGAGTTGGTAACATGATTAAAAAAAAAGACTGTATGTGAAAGACAGGTCATTTTTATTGAACTTCTCCCTAAACAGCTGATAAACTGGTCTTGAAAAGATATTTGTAGCCAACAAAGGGATGCAATTACACTTGTTTAATACTACTGTGATTTTTTTTTTTTTAATATAATGTGCTAATACATTGTCCAGTGTTTCATTTGGTGCAGTTTCAACAGAATTACAACACTTCCCAAAGTAGATCTAGCCAATATCTGATTGATTCTGGTCTGTGGGGATTGGATCAGTTCAGTGTAATTTCCTCTCTTGTTGCTTTCATTTCTATTAGGGAGGCTTTTGGTTCATGGAAATCGATAACCTTATACATGCAAAATGTTAGGTTATTTTTTAGTAAGTTTCATTTGTGCCTGTATCATACAGAAAATATATTTTCCCCCTCAGAATATGTGCACTGCATGTTAGTTATTTGGCAGACTCCAAAGTCAATTCATAGACAAATATTCATTTACCCTTACAATAAATAAATAAATAGTGACCAGGGAAAATTTAAATTACTATGAAGAGGCTGAAGATATTTTACACATACAAATTCCAGAATCTGCCACTTAAAATGTAAATGGGACTTAACTGTTTTGCAAATTGAGTCCTATTTGTCTCAGCAGAATCATTAAAGCTATGATTTAACCCAAAAATGGGCTTTATTATTCCATTTAATTATACTGGAGGATTTAGGTACAAGCCTCTAACAATTTATTCCTTTAACACGGTGAATGTTGGACAAACAAATATTTGACTATGTACGTAGGATAGCTTTATTTTTGTAAGAAATATGTTTCTAATATTTTCCTTACTTATTACAGAAATTGAAACAAGCTGAAAAAACAAGGGAAGATTCTGAGAATAGATTATCTAAAATTTCCCTGGAGTCTCTCAATAAATTTAACAGCAATAATGTCATTTTATTAGAAAAAGAGAAGAATTGTCTGAACAAGGTTGAAGGACAAAAGGAAGAAAATGGAAAGAATGAAGAAGCTTCTTTAAATAGCTCTGATAGTCATGTTGTAGACAATTTAGAATCCTTGAGTGATTCTTTATATGATAGCTTCTCATCCTGTGCCAGCCAAGGCTCTAATGATGTATAAAGAGACTTTCTAGTGGGTTGTGAATGGAGCACTTAACGAACTGAGGGGAAAAAAAGAAAGGAACAACTGTTGAAAAACTTCATCCTAAATTGTTGGATTCACAGCAGGGTATTTCCTGACTTATTTTCATGACACAGCAATAAGGAAAGACAAGACTGCATTTATTGTGATGCATGAGACTGAAAATTGAACACAATAGCTGTTATACAAAATGTCTTAATTTTGCACTTTTATGAATACTTGTACAGAAGTTGTAAAAATTTTTGAAAAAATATATTTGTAGAAAAAAAAGCAATAAATATTAAATGGTGCCATGCTCCTGAAATGACAGATTACTAACTTTTAAAAGTTGATGTTAATATTAACAAGCAGAGTTAGTGCATTTTTTAAAGAAAGATTTATAATTGTACTAGTCTTAAAACTGTATGTAGAAACACTGCTTTAACATAAACTTGAGCCCGCCAAATTGTCTGAAATAAACCTTCTTGGACCACATTTTACAACGTACACTTTGTAATTTTTTTTTTTATTTTAGTGCAATTTCACATAAGATTCTCCAGGGGTATGTGCATTTTAGTAGGTGTAATTCCTTAACATGTATCTGTTGATACTTCAAGAGGGTTTTGATGTTTGAAACAGTATGAGAATGGTTGGAATCAAATCCCAGATCCTACTACTACTTGTGCATCTGAGCAGCCCCACTGAGTTCATAAACCATGTGCATAAAAGTGTTTGGAAGATCAGGGTCAAAGTGATTTGCCATTTGACTTCAATGGGAGTTTTGCCTGAGTAAAGGATTGCAGGATCTGGCCTTTATTGCTCACTGCAGTATTTACTTTTATAGTTTACCTAATTCTCCTTCCTCTGTAACCATTTAATATGAATTTCTGAATGTGGTATGTTGATTTTTCCCCTTCAGACCACCTTGGTTTTAACTCCATCTAGGAATCCTGGAAAACTGAAATAAAATTCATATTTGTGATAAACTTTTTTAAACTAAAAAAAAAATGTTTTTGGTGCTAACTCTTAATTCAACATATCTTTTTCCTATAAAGACTTTATATGTAAGGGGAAGTCTATTTATGTGTATTTTTGCTAGTTGTGAAGTATTTATAACTGCTTTTGTACAGCAATCTATCTGTAAACTAGGTATATTTGGGATATTTCTAGGGTCTACTGTTTCTTTAGCAAATACCTGTTAATCTTTATGATATTGTATGGTCAGTGTTATTTTGTTAATACTTTGTGCAATTTGTTACATTTTAATTTTGTTATTTTAAGTAATTATGTCAGATTTAAACTTGCATTGTCTTTTTGAAACTTATTTCTAAATAAAGTTCATATCACATTTATAGGAATGGTTAAAGATATATATTTTCCCAAGGACAAGTCGTCCATGTTGGAGTTAATTGGTTTAATGAGATGGATTTACGAATTAATTGTCCAAGAAAATATGAAAGAAGAGATGGGAAGCAAATAAAATAATGTAAAACTATTTTAAAGAACCACCTCTATGATACCATATGCATGCAAAACACTGTGCAAACCATTTCCCTTCTCCAGTCAACTAGCCCTGGGTGCCCCAGAAATAATAAACGTGCAGATGGAATTCAATCATTCAAATGAATTCTCGACATGGCAACTAAAAAGTAATTTAAGCTTAATTCAAACCCCTCTGCTTGCAGACAAGATTGTGACTGATCAAAGGGAAGCCTGTGGGTTGCCGAAAGATGAGGCTGGGGATGGAGTTGTAATAGGCTGTGCAATGAAAACCATCATTTTCCTTCAGCTAGTTCTTCATCTCACAAATGAAGGCCGCAGCGGATTGTAGGAATGAAACGCACCGTGACGTGGGGTGGCCCCAGGAGCCTCCACTCGCTTCCACACTGTGCCAGACGAGAGCCAGGCCCCGCACGGCGGGGGCGGCCACGGAAACGCTCCTAGCTGCGGCCCGCGTGGCGGCGCCTTTAGGGGGGTGCTGCAGGGAATGGGTCCTGCCCCCGGCAGCGCTTCCCAGGGAGTCAACACGCGCCCACCGTGGCATGGGAAGGACTGCGCGGGGGCACCGCCCCGGGGGGAGGGCGAGCCTCCCCCTGCGCCGAGCGAGCCGCGGGCTGGGTCACAGCTCCGCGAGCCAGCAATGAGCGTGCCCCCGCCTCGCCCTGGGCCCGCTCGCCTCCCACCCGGCCGAGGCCTCCTGCACCTTCTCGACGGGCACGCTGCTGTGTGCCCCCCGGGCCATTAGCGAGGGCGAGACTAACCCGGACCAAAGCCCTGCGGCGGGGGAGCGTCCCTGCAAACAGCGCAGAGGCGCCCCTTCCTCCCACACACACGTGGATGGGTTAAGGGCAGCGCACCGCCCCCTCCGTTAAAACACAGGGGGGGGGGGTTAAGGGCAGCGCCTTCTACAGCCCCTTCCCCCAATACACACTAGGGGAGGTTAGAGTTAACCCCCACACACACACTGGGGGGGGGGGGTTAGGGTCAGCCCCACCCAAGACACACAGGTGGGTGGATAAGGTCAGAGGCCCCCCCCACATAAAGGGTTAAAGTCAGACCCCCCCCCCGGCCCATACACACACCCCTAGGTAACTTAGGGACCGAGGCCCCCCCCCCCCCACACACACAGGTAACCTCCCCCATGCCGGGGGAAGAGTTGAGGGTGAGAAGCTGAAGGTTCGTGACCGCTCCGCCCGGGCAGGGTTGGGGTCGGGGGTCACTGCCCGCCCGTCTGTCCCCACGGGTCCCCGCTGTGTGGGGAGCCCTTTGGCCCCTGCCGGCCCGGGAGGTGCGTGCCGGTTAAGGACAGAGCCCTGCCTGCAGACACACACCGGAGGGGCGGGGGGCTCTCCCTACCCTTCCCGGACCGCGTCGGGCTGCAGCGCACGGACAAAGCCCCGCAGCCCGGGATGGGGTTAGGGGCAGAGCCCGACTCACCGGCCACTGTGTAGCAGTAGCTCAGCGCCTGAGCCCCCACCGCCTTGGGGAGGGAGGGTCTCGGCTCGCTAGCGACCCCCCACCCCACACACTGGGAGCAGGAGAGGGAGCCCCGGGAGAGGGGCGGCTGGGTTAACTTGGGAAGCCCGCCCAGCTTTACTGCCTGGCCGGAGGCCGGGGGGGGGGGATGTCTCCCTCCCTCACGAACTTTCTCCCTTCCCCGAGTGTGCCGGGAGGGGTCCCTCTCCCCTCCCCTGTCACATGGTGCGAGGGAGGGGGGCAGAGGGAGACTTTTCTCTCGCCGACTCTCCCCCAGCGCCGGCCAGTCTCCGCTCCCAACTCCTGGAGGCTGGAGGGAGCGCGGAGCCCGCGGGCGATGCGGGCTCCGGGAGCTGCTCTCCGCAGCGGTGCGGGGAAGAGGCTCGGCGGCACCGCGCCTCTGCTGCCCGGCTGCTTCTGATGCGCCGTGCAGCCCGGGGCCCCGGCTCCACGAGGATGTGGCTCCTCTTCGGCGCGGCAACTTTCTGGGGATTGGTCCTGGCTCCAGGTAGGAGACGCGGGGCAGCGCGCCCCTGGGGCCGGGGCAGGGCGCGGCGCCGGCAGCGCCCGGCTCTCGCACCTGCCGCTTCCCGCGCCGCTCTCCCGGCCGGCGCCCGCAGCAGCTCCCCGCTCCCCGCCACTCTGCAAAGTTCGCGCTGCTATTCAACAGCTGCTGGCGGGGCGGCCCCTTCCCCCGGCACTGCGCCCAGCGCTCCCGAGGGGAGCCTCTGCCCAGCCCGTGCCCCGCTGGCCGCCCTCCCCCGGGCAATGCACCAGCCCGGCTCCTCTCGCCGGCGGGTGCGCGAGGATCAGCTCAGCTGTGGGTCATCGCTCGCTGAGCGCAGTCTCCAGCACTGAGCCAGTTCCCTGCGCAGCGCTCGCCTCCCTGTCCCCGCGATCCTAACACTGCCTGAGGCCAGCTTCTGTGGGCGATTGCCTGGAGAACAGCATCGCTCAGCTGGGAACAGCTCAGGTCTGGATCCCTTCTACCAGCCTCCGTCCTGGGAGCAGCGCCGGTGTGAACTGAATCGGCATCGTCAGCCAGGCTCGGGGTCCCCTCTGGCATTTTGCTGCTCCCTGTGAGATGCACAAGGGACCAGCTCTGCCAGGGGTCCCCAGCGAGATGCATAGGGAACAGCCGGGCTCTCTTCGTGCAGCGCCCAGTTCCCTGACATGCCCGGGGACAGCTCCTCTGGGTGACGACGTAGTGGAGAAGCGGCTCACCTCGAGCAGTGCCCGCCCCCCGCCCAGCATGGAGGGCCTGTGACAGTTTCCTGCACTTCGTGTTGGAGAAGGACCTAATTTACATGATAAAAGAGGGAAGCGAAGACGGCTTTGCAGCTGTAATTGTGCATGGCAAAATAGTAATTAAATCATTTGTAATTAATTAGTAGTTAAGTAAACCCGACGGCACAGATAAGAGCTGAAGCGCATCTGTTAGCCCGGTTACTGTCCCCCAAGCACGGATAGTGCTTATCCCACTGCTTTAAGGGGACTCCAGCTCGGTAGAGTGGGAGCTGAGAGTGCCGGGTCGGTGGGTAAGTGGTATCAGTTTTGTTTCAGTCCTGTTCTTTGTACTCTGCCCCCTGCTGGCTGCAGCGTTTGCTGTTGCTCCCCAGGGAATTCGGATAATTCAAAAAAGTTGAGTGGCTGGCTAGGGATTGCTTCGCTGATGTAGACTCCCCGTTTGTACCTAGTTAGCTAATTATAAGAATCTGGGTAATTATGAGGGGAGAGCGATAGCTCAGTGGTTTGAGCATTCGCCTGCTAAACCTAGGGTTGTGAGTTTAATCCTTCAGGGGGCCGTTTGGGATCTGGGACAAATATTGGGGATTGGTCCTGCTTTGAGCAGGGGGTTGGACTAGATGTGACCCCCCGCCCCCCCCCCCCCGAGGTCCCTTCCAACCCTGATATTCTATGATCCTATAAGGAGTAGCCTCAGCTAAATGGGCCAGAGTTGTAGACAAATCTTTTGACAAAACCCATATTTTTGCTTTGCTGGTAAATAGATAGGAACAGCAGAGTGAAGAAAAAATAAGTAGCATTTTTGGCATATGCAGATCTATTCTGAGCAAAACTCTGTCTGTTCCAGGAATTGGTCTGCAAATACAGTGTTACCAGTGTGAAGAATTCCAGCTAAATAATGACTGCTCTGCTCCAGAGTTCATTGTGAACTGCACAGTGAATGTTCAAGACATGTGCCAGAAAGAAGTAATGGAAAAAAGTTCTGGTAAGAACTTAATAATTACACTCTTCCAGGTTTATTTGGTATTGTTTGGTGCTCTTAGCTGCATTGTTCATTTTTCTCTACTATGAATTTTTAGCTTAAGGCATATTATATTATTACCAAATTTGTTATCTCAAATTTATTGTATTTTTCAGATACTTTAGGTTAATAATTTTCCTTTAAAATGGAAAATATTGAAACTTACAAGACAAATGTTAATAAAGATGTTAAAATATGATCTTATGGTCAAATTTAGTTTCACAGCACTGGAAAATTAATAAGTTAGTTTAATCTCATTATAGTTAATTAGTTGGGCCTTTCCCAAGAGATGGAGGAAAAGTGCATTAAATTAGTAATTCCTTCTTTTCTTTATTTACTCCAGCAATTCACATAAAGTAAAGGTTGATCGCGTGTGATAGGAAGCTGAGCTATGGGATTTCATCCAGAAGACAGTGAGCAGGGAAAGATATTGGAATTCAAGTGGGCATGGCTGAAAGAATGTATTGGGCATATGGATGTTATCTCTGAAAATTCTTTAGGGGTTCTGTCACTGCTCTAATTAATTTTAGAATACAGTGCACTGCTTTTAGTTTTTATTCAAAGATCACTAATATTTTCAAGAGGAAGCCAGCCATGTTTGTTCTTTTCTCCCTAAATCATCTCTGGGCTGGGCTGTAAATCAATCCATTACATCAAATACTTCAAGATATTTTTAGAGATTTTGGGGGCAGGTGTTTTGTATGTTAAACTTCAGGACCCATCATAGTCATCTAACTGGATAAAACATTCCAGCTTTATCAGAGACTTTTGGGTTGGGCTCTGTGATAGAGGAAAAGTGTTTGGCTGTTTGCTATTTCATATAGCCTCCTGCTCCTATCATAGCCTCCACCTGTGATGTTTGCAGGGGCAGAAGGAGTTAGGATAGTACTGGCTCTCAGGAGTTCCTCAAATTAGATATGATCTGCACACTGATGAGTGGTGTTTCCGATTGAAAAACTCATCTACAAGAGGCAGGAATCCAGAAGATGTACATAGATGGGAGTATGTAGTACCACTGGTTTGGAGGGAAAGGATCTTGGATGGACATAGTGGCTCACAGCTGAGGGCAACAATTTATACATGCCTGTTGATTAAGGATGGTATATAGGACTGTTTGGGTGTTTATGCAAATAAAGCCACAGCCTGTCTCCTTCCAACAATACCAGATTCCCTCTGTTAATGGGAAATATAAGTATAGCTACAGGACTTGAAATGTTTCCACATAAACAAAAATGATTAATACTATTAAAATCTTCTACAGACCTAAATGATATTTACCAAGGTATTTATCAGCAACTCTGATCTTACAGCTAACCATAGATTAACGCCCTGCAAATCATGAGAAAGTGGTAAAATTGCCTCTTTAGTAAATAGAGAATGCATTGTTGGCATTTGTCCTCAATACAGATAACACCATACACACAGTACTGCACTTATAACTACTTTGTAAAGTATTTGGGATTTGTTCTGAACAGACAGAAAAAGATATATACTTAAGGGAAGATTAATTGCCATTCAATAAGAGAATTCAACTTTAAAATGTGAACATATTTTGGGTAAAAACACGTTTTTCTCTTTATTTCAAACACAGTATCTCCTTTCAAGAAAGGAGTATTTACTCAGAGAAGATGGTGGAGGTTTGAGACAGTTATGGGTTATGAGGTGCTTTGAACCTATGCATAATTTTAGACAAATATTTGAAATGCAGTTTGAAGGCTTTGTCACATACACCCCAAATATTCTATAAGCTTTTAAATAGGTTTGAATGAATGATGTGGAGGAGTTTGAAGTGCTATAAAAATCCTTTATAGTAAAATCAGATCCCTCCCAGTAAAACATGTAAATTATCCTAATTTAACTCTTGCTACTTTCTTTCCTTTTATCCCCTTCCCTTTGCACAATATTTTTATTCTAATGTACAATTTCAAACTATAACAGCCTTCAAAGAAACATCTGTAATCTTGTTTTCCAGATGAATGTTAGACAAAGAAGTGTTTGCAGTCAGACCTCCTTACACAAGGAATGGTTTACTTAAGTGTATAGGTATCCAAAAGATTTAAGTGGAAGCCACTCACATAGCATGTATGTACAACTGACTTGTTCAGATTAAAAAAATCAGATTAACAAGTGAGTTTGCAAACTGGTTGATTAAGCTTTTGTGACTATGTTATATTGAAAATATGAATGATTGTGATTGGGTATTAAAAATATATGGCTGCATAAACTTGTCTTCACCATTACAAAGAAACTGGTTTGCAATAGACTAAATAAAGGTAGAGAAACATTTTTATGAAATGTTCTTTCTATTCTTTTACCTGGGCAATATTACATTGCCTATAATGAAAGTCTCTGGACTGACGTTTGAATTTTCCCATAGATACCTATCATGCAGTGCATAGCAGACTACAGTTCAGTCTTATTTGGCTTTGTTCTGTAAATGCAGTTCTTATTAGTTTTAAGTTAGAGAGTTACAAGTTCCCGTAAAGAAGTAAATTTTATTTTTAACTTAACTATTCCAAATTGAGTGAGATTTGCAGTACAGGTTGAGCTTCTTTCCTATTTCCTCAGTCAGTTCGAGAAAAGGGTGGTAGTAAAGCAAGGAGGATTCAGTAAATCATCTCTTATTGGGGTTTTTTCTTGTTTAAATGTGTGTAAAATAAAATGGCTCATTCTCAAAAATTTCATTTAATAATTCAACCTTTATTTTATCAGGCCATTTTAAAACTCAGTTTTATGTGCTTATCATTGAAAACTGAAAAGTATTTCAAATATTGATTTTCATTTTATAATAATATTTGAGTTTGAATTTTAACCCAGTATATAAAGAATATGCATTTGCATTTACTTGTCAGTGTGATTTTGTAATTAGTTTTTTCCTCGACTCGATACAGTAAAAGGAGTATAATTTAATTTTTATAGGCTAGCCAAATTCTGCCTCTAGTAAAATATAGCTCTGTCAGTAAGCAAAATGTTTCATGTTCTCCTAAACCTTATTTAAAAGTTAAATGCAGTATATTGAGATAAAGTTCATGGTCTGAATCAGTAACCTAATGAACCTTGTCACCCGTCCTATGCAACATACATTAATCTAGTTGTCTATTTTGCAGTCAAGGGGGTTACTGATTTACATGCTTGTATACATTTTACTCATGAGCATGTAGGCAATGGCTATTTTCTTATATATTTGTTAGTGGTCATTAAGTTTAACAATGACAGTTCAGTGGTTCAATTTTATTTCTATACTAAGCTCTCTCCTCAATAATACAAAGGAGAACTGCAATTCTAAGCTTTGTTCATTTATATTGTAAATACTTCTTAAGCCTTACTTTAGTCAAGACAAACCATTCCTGTTTAATTAAGGTAAAGTGAAGCTTAAGCTATGTTTTAAACCTTACTCTACTCAGTCAAAGCATTCTCAGAATTTGGGTCTAGAACCAGTTTTCTGAAATGTATTTCATCCCTACACAAGACATTCTAACAATCCTAAGTAAAATATGAAATTTTACAAAAATCCAAGTTAAAAAAGCACAGTTATGAGTATCTTGGATTTTCAAAATAGATATTGAAATCATTCATATTTAAATCAGATCAACTTAAGCAGTACCAATCAGATGGTTCTACTAATGTCACAAATAGTCTATTTCCTAATTAAAACAATAATAATAAAAGTGGGATGTATTTGGGTGGGGGAAGCAGTTAAGCATGTACCAAGATGGGCGACTATACTGAGCGAATATACCCTCTTCTCCCACCCGCCCCCCAACACACATGTTCTCTTATTATATCAGTTTGTATTACAATAGAACCTAGATAACCCATCCAAAATGTACAGAATTGGAGACCTCATGAAGTAAATGACAAAAATGTTCCAAGTTTCAGTACCATGATTTATGCATTTTTCAAGACTAAGTTTTAGGTAGTAATGGGAGATGGCTTCCAATGGGAGATGCAAAAGAACCATATTTCACTACAAGGAATGCACTTTGCCAACTAATTACTTAACCTAGTTTTTAAAAAGCATCAATACTTCTCTTCTTTATAGGGAAGAGCTGTGAGCTCTGGAGGAGGCACTGAAGCCCAGATCAAATACTTTTGGTGCCATAGAAACTAACATAAGGGATAGGTTTTTAAGGTTAGCCTTCTAGTTGAAGAAGCAGCTGATGTTTGCAAGCAGATTACATAGATGAAATGTTTGATGAATGAGAAGCGTTCTTCATTATATTAATTCCATTTGCAACTATTCAGGAAAACATTGGTAACTGATTTTTTTTATTATTATTATTTTTTTTTTTTTGCTGATTTTTGAGCACTGAATCTACAAAGCTGCTGCTTGTCAAAGTGAAAGTGAATACAAGAACAAAGAAACCTAAATGCACACTTCTCTTCTTTGGACTGATGTTTCGGCTATTCATGTGTTTGTTATATTTAAATAAAACAAATTCTAAGAAATACAACTTTTCTTCTATTGGTGACGAGTGACCTGACCACTTGGGACTTGATGCAAAACCCACTGAATGCAAGGGGAGTTGGTCTTTCCACTGACTTTGATGGGCTTTGGATCAGGCCCATAGTCTGCAGAAAGATACAGAAATGCAGCAAATACAGAACCCAATCTATCTCCAAATGGAGAAAACCGTACAACCATCATCAAAAAAATGGTACAAGGCAATTTCTTATCACTATAAATAACGGTGTTTTTAAAAATAGAATAAACCCAGAAAATGAACAGAGTAGAAGGAAACCAAGTGTGACGGGAGAAAAATCAAAGGACAGAGTTGGAAAATGTAAAATTCTTAGACTATCTCAATGCTCAGTAGCTATAACAGGCTATTGAATTTTTAAAACAAGGCTTCATGCTCTTACTACTCCTCTGTTATGTAGCTTGTAAATCTTTTTTTCACCATCTCTGTTACCATTCACCTAATATCTGCATTAGAAATGCTGTTTGGCAAAAGGCAAAAAGA